TTTAGAGCGGAGGCAAGGAATGCACAGGGCGATAGGTAGGGCTGGAGACAGAGGTTTGAAAGAATGTATGTGAAGTTGTTGCAATCTCTAAATCTCTTCCTCCAAACTGCAGAGCTGGACAAATAAATAGCCCTGCTGCGCTCTCACTCAGGATGGAGGGACAATGGGAGGGAGGGAGGGGGGGAGAGAGAGGAGGGGAGAAGGAGAATTGATTCTTTTCTCTGGAGAACAAGAATTGGAGAAGCTTCAGAAGGGGTGCGGACTGGCACTGCGTAGGGGTGGAGGTGGGCGAAAACAGTAGGGCTCCCTTTCCCTGTCTGGTCCCCAAGTACCAGCCTCAGGGTGTCTGCTTCTCCAGGCAGCCGATTGGGGATACTTTCCTTGTAAAAATGAATGGCCCTAGACATCAGATTTCTGTACACTGACCTCGAGGAGCTTCTCAAAAACCATTTACCTCAATAACCAGGCAGCAAGCCCACTAATTATAGGCCCCTTCTATCACACATATCTTCCAATAAGCTTCTAGTGCCTCCTACTTAAGTATAGCCAGGCAGTGGGGACCTGGTACTTGGGAAGGCCTAGAACATAGAAGAGAAAGGGCAAAAACAACAAAAACCTGAACTAAAAGGACTCAGTGGAAATACATGTTTCATAAGGAAATCTTAGAAGGAAAAAATTAATCTTAAATCTGTTGTTTATATAGGAGGATTGACATCAGTGTTGTTTATAGTCACAAACTATTAGAAAAAACTAAATGTCTATCAACATGATGTTGGCTAAATTAGTTTGTTACAATATTTTGATAAATTTATACACTAGAAAGAAAACAAAAGCATTACAGTAATTTCTTATATTTCAAAATGGAAAAATGGTCATGCCATGTTGTTTGCTAAATTAAATACAAAAAATCCAAACTTGTTACAATGTTCGTGAGGATGTGGAGAAAAGCGAACCCTCCTCCTCTGCTGGTGGGAAGGTAAATGCAGCCACCGTGGAAAGCAGTGTAGAGATTACTCTGAAAGTTAGGAACAGAACTCCATGTGATCCAGCTATCCATTTCTTGGTATTTATCCAAAGAATACCAAAACACTAATTAGAAAAGATATGTTTACCCCTATGTTCATTGCAGCATTATTTGCAATAGCCAAGATACGAAGGCAACCTAAGTGTCCATCAGTGGGTGACTGGATAAAGAAGTGATATAACACAGATATGCAAGGGAATACTTGTCAATCCTAAAAAAGAGGGAAATCTTGTCAATTGTCACAACATGGATGGGCCTTGAGGGTATTATGCTGAGAGAAATAAGTCAGATGGAGAAAACAAATACAGTATGATTTCACTCATATGTGCAATCTTAAAAAAACACCCCAAATAAACAAACAAACTAAATAAAAACAAACTCATAGATACAGAGAATAGATTGATGGTTACCAGAGGGGAAAGGGTTTGGAGAGGGTGCAAAATGGGTAAAGAGGGTCAGTTGTCTGGTGATGGATGGTAACTGGATTTTTGGTGATGGTCACTTTGTGTATACAGAAGTCACATAATGTGCACCTGACACCTATGGAATGCTGTATTCCAATTTTACCTAAATTAAAAAAAGATTTGTCACATAATTTAGATAACAGTACATAGAATATGATTTTATTTATGCAAAAATATGTTTCTATGCCCCCTCAATATTGGATATGGATGCATTTGCTATTAGCAGTGGTTATATCTGGGAGCATCTTGAGGACAACCTTGACTTTTTATATTTATCTGTTTTTCAGGCTTTTTTTTTTTTTTTTTTACCACTAGCATTTATAGTTTTCATAGTTAAGAAAGGAAATTAATTTTTTTGTTAAAATATACTTAGGACACCTGCAGAATAATCAAGTGACTGCCTTTATTTATCCACATGTGCTTAAACACTCCCCAGGATGAGTCAACCTCAAACAAAACCTTATTTCAATGAAAACTATGTTGCTTGTTAACTATGATTAATATAATAGGTGAGGTTCTGAAGTCATATTAACATTTCTTATGCTGTTATTAGAGAAATTACTTGGTGACAATCTGGATTACAGATAGTTTTCTAGAAACGCTAGTCTGGTACAATTCTCTTGTAACGCCTAGGATCTGCGCCATGCCTTTTCCACAGCCTCTGGTGCTGCTGATGACGGGTTTCTCTGAAGGTGCGGATTTCCCTTGGGGACTTCTTTCTTTGTAGGAATCTGGAAAAGCCAAGGGGGAAGTGGGGGACCTTAGGGACTTGGTGGCCAGGCTGGATCGGGCTGGCTATTCCTTATAGTGTCCAGGAGCAGATATAACCTAAGTCATTGTTAAGTTGGTGTCAGAGAGACTGTCACAAGGCCATCTCCAGGTCCTGGCTGTAGGAAATGAGGCCAGAAATACAAATTCTAAAAACCCTCTATGGTTTCCAGTGCCCTGAGAATAAAATGAGAAGTCTCGGCCCGAGAAGCCCCTTCTGCCGTCCCAAGCATCTCCTGCTTGCAGCCATTCGGCCTTTCGGACTCTCTGGGGGCCTAACGCTCCCCCCTCGGAGCCTGTGCTCATTCTATTTCCTCACCTGAGTGGCCTCACCTGCCTTTTCTCTGGGGGGCTTCTTTCGACCCTTTCAGGTCACAGTGTCACCTCTTCCGTGAGGCCTTTCCTAATTAATGAATCTTAGTGGCTTTTGCTCTCTCTGTTTCAGCCTCCTGATTGCTTCTAAATAAGGAGATTTTGTACTTATATTTAGGCACTTTCACTTTCTGTCTTCTCTTTGGGTTGTCAGTGCTGAGTATGGCCTTCCTTCTGTGTGTGCAGCTGACCGGCCAGAGCGGCAGCCTGTGCCCCACCCGGCCGCTGCACACCTGCCAGGCGTTCCGCAGCCAGCATTCGAGTGTCTGCCCGAAGGCTGACTGTCTCCCCGGGGGCTGACTGTCTCCGGGGGGCTGACTGTCTCCCGGGGGCTGACTGTCTCCCGGGGGCTGCCTGCCTACCCGGGCTGCCACCTGACATGCTAGGAGGAAAGTGGTCCTCAACACTTTCAACAGGAGTGAGAGTGTCGATGCCTGGGCTCCCTCACCTGTTTGGGGAGCTAGTCATCCGAAGTGGTGGTGGCACGTTCATGTATCTTTTAATTGGCTAACTCTCCTTTCTGGTCTGATTTTATCACTCCCAATTAAATGGCTTACACTCAAATCCTCCGTGTGTGTGTGTGTGTGTGTGTGTGTGTGTGTGTTGGGGGTACCTATGTCACATGTAGGTGCCGGTTTATGAGTTAACGGGTAGATGGATAGAATAATAAATGAAGAGTAGGTTACAGAATGGAGTTCAAGGCAGGATGAGGTGTAGGTTTTCGAACTATTGACTGAAGAAACAAAGAAGCTGGGAGCTCATTCTAACAGGCTACTTGGCTCACAAAAAACCGTGTAAGCCCACTAAAGGTGTGGGTATCGGCAGTTTGCAGGGAATCTAATATGGAATTTATAACAGCTAAGGTTTTCTTTAGACCCAATTTTTGAAGATTTTATGGATGCCCAACTTAATGTGTAGTTTTTATATGTATTGTTCTATTACAGTATTTACTTAAAGAATTAAAATGTGCTGTGCAAACTCTCAAATAAAATTCAAGCTGCATTATTTTTCAATTGAGGTGACATTAACAGTCCAAACAGTCACTTTCATATATATATATATATATATATATATATATATATATATCTGGAAGTGAGAACTGGGCTGTAAGTGAAATCAGCTGGTGCGATTTAGTCAGAGCCCCAGAAAGAAGTGATGGCAAAAAGGTGATCTAGTTTATGTAGATGTAACTGATTCTAGCATGGGGATTACTATCACAGGTCTTATTATTATTGTTGTTCTGTCATTGGACAAGTTCATAGAGTTGTTTGGGAGCCGACTAGAACTCCCGAATCAGATAGCATTTCTATCGCCAGCAGATCATGAGGACGGAGACTGTGCTTCTTGACAGTAAGAATAAACGTCAGCGTCTGACCCTGTGGTGTCAGTGCAGGGCGTGCGGGTGACTGAACGCATGGAACTCTGAGTGCTTGGACCAGCCTGCTTTCATAATTAGTATTGTTTTCAAATCCAACGCGACTCATATGGACTAGTAAATTATTCATCACCAAGTAAAGCATTTCTCAAATTACAAAAGGATTTAATCCTGACACTCCAGGTGATCAGCGTTATCTAGCCCTACACATTTAAAAGTTACAGATCATGTGTCTAAAATCCTGTGAATTTGTATAAACTTTCTATAAGGAAATATTAATATAGTGGTGCTGGTTGCCGAATATTTGTGTTAAAACAGGCATTGTACATGAAGCTGACCTAACTAAATATGATAGAAATTACTGTTCAGAAGTAATTTCTAGGAAAAATTTAACTTCTTTCGATGAAACAACCTGCCTTTTCTTTAATAATTTTTCTTTATTGATTTTAGAGAGAGAGGAAGAGAGAGGGAGAGGGAGCTAGAAACACTGATGAGAGGGAACGTCGATCTGCCGCCTCCTGCATGCCCTTCACTGGGAATCGGGCCCACAACCCGGGCATATGCCCTGACCGGGAATCGAACCAGCAACCTCTTGGTTCATGGGTCGATGCCTAACCACTGAGCCACACCGACCAGGCAGCCTGCCTTCTCTTAATGGAAATTGAGAATTGAATGCATAGCGTGCAGTTCTTACTGGTTTTTCACTGGTCTACCAAAAAGCTCAGAACTTAATTTGCAGCTCAGTTTTTCTAAGCACATGGAAACTTATGGCTTTTATATTTATCTTCTAAATTTCTCCTTATTTAAAAAAAAACCTATTCTTATTTTTCTTTTTCCTTGGCCTGAATTTATATATATTGCCTGTGTTTTACACTCTTACTTTATGTACTGATGTAAGTCTCCACACGCTTTTTGTGGAAAGTGGAGCAATGCATGGTTCATGTATAAAACATTGAGAAAACATCTATTTTTATTGCACTACTATTTTTTTTTCAAGGCCAAATGTTTGTGAGGAGCAGCAGCTGACCGCGGTGGGACAGCCACAGCCGAGTGTCCGTGCGTTCACACACCTCGTCTCGCGCTGGGAGCAGGGCTGCGCGCCCCCGGGATGGTGTGTGGGCTACGAGAGAAGGTGAGCCGCCTCCGCTGGTCCTTCTGACTCTCAGGCCTGCGCGCCCCCGGGATGGTGCGTGGGCTACGAGAGAAGGTGAGCCGCCTCCGCTGGTCCTTCTGACTCTCAAGGTCAAAGTGCAAAGCCTCAACTGCATCGAAAGATTTCCTCCAAGACAGTTTATTTTATTATTTATGTATTATTATTTTTTAATTTTATTGTTTATTAATGCAATCTTTTTTTTTTTTAATCCTCACCTGAGGATACTTTTACATTTATTTTTCAGACAGAGTGGGAAGGGAAGAGAGAGAGAGAGAGAGAGAGACATCGATGTGAGAGAGACACATGGACTGGTTTGCACCCGCACAACCCCAGCCGAGGCCAGGGACGAACCTCAGCTGAGGTACGTGTCCTTGGCTGGAATCAAACCCGGGACTCTTTGGTCCACGGGCCAATGCTCTAACCACGGAGCCAAACGGGCCAGGGCTCCTCCAATGTTTTTTTAAAAAATCATTGTATAATTAAATAAGCCCACACAGGGATGCCCCCAGGAACTTTCAGAGTTCTGCATTTTCCTTCAGAGGCAGGGCACATATTGATTTACGTGTGACCTCATTTACGTGTGAGGGACGTGGGGTTAGATGCTACTGTTTTACCTCGTCATGTGACAGACCTGAGAGCTGAAGATGGGAAGACGGACGGTCCCGGAATATCGTGCTGGTGTGCTCGCTTTGGAAGGACTCGGGTCTGGGTGCCCACGGTCTTGCAAGACCAGCTGACCTCGCTTGGTTCCCTTCGCCCACTTTGAAACCCAGAGCTCCTTTGACTGGAGTGTGGCCTTTAAGGTGGGATTCACTCAGCAGGTGGGCGAGGAGGGAACAAGCAAGTGCCATGCTGTCTGCATGTCAAGGCTTCATGTGGGCTTTTGAGAAAAAGTTTTAAAATAGGTTTACAAAACAAACAGCTAAGTGCCTCTTCATACAAATAGCTGCTAATGGGTTCAGTTTTAGGGAAATGAATCAACTGAGTCTGAATTCAAGATTTTAAAAAAAGTATGGCTTCAGATTAATAAATTTATTACTATTATTATTGTTGTTGTTCTTACTACCACTACTGCCAAAGGAAAGTTGGGGACATTTATAAATAACTGGATTTGCCATTGTATAGAAATACCAGAACATTGATAATATAGGACTAAATAAAATGTTATGAGACTGAATATTTTATATTATGGATATTTACACATGCATTGCATGTATGCAATTGTGTGTGTGTGTCTGTTTAACTTTCACATGTATAGTCTTTTTTTAAGCTCTATGCTTAGGACCTTTAAATAAAATTTAAATTGGAAAACTTTCCCTGGGTCTTATTAGCTGTGTGGCCCTGGGCAAGGTTCCTATATTTCCGTGTGCCTTAGTCTGTAAATTTAGAAAAAAATAATACCATGTGTGGTATGGTGTATTTAACACATGTGGCACGATGCTTGGTACGTACGCAGTAGGAACTCAGGGTGTTTGTTCATTAGAGTGGTTGAAAATGACTTTTTGTTTAGGTTTCCTGTACTGCCCCATGAGGTTTGATCATTGTTGGTACTAGACTGACCCAAAGAAAGTTCACTACCAGTAGACATGCAGACTTGGGAAAACAAACATAAATAAAGAAAAATATAGTTTATATTTTTATTTGTAATAGCTTAATAGTTTTACACATTTCTTTATTCAGTAAATATTTGTAACATTGGCTTTGGAGTTGAGGCAGTGGTCAAAGATGTTTGGCATCTTTGCCACACGAATATCCCTTTTGTTTGTATATAATTATGCAAACCTATACTTATATCCCTACTGCAGAGATACACATACAATATTAGGTCACACTTCAAGAGGGTGAATAACTGTCACAAAAAGTGGTATGGCCAATAAGTCCTATTGTTGAGAGTGCAATGTACTTTGGCATGGTGGGGAGAGAGAAGTCAGAGGAAGTGTGACTCTGAAATTGGCTCTGAATAATGAAGGGGATTTGGAGAGAGCCATACAAAGGGGAGAGAATATGTTAATATGCTTGATGTCAAGAATAAATATGACATTGCTTTGATAGGAAGGAAATTAGCCAGTTTAGAGATGTTTGGTATTATAGTGTATTAAGAGGTTAGCACGAATAGCTATAGCTTAGTGTTTTCAAACTTTGTTCTTACTGTCCGCTAAGGAGCCTTTGTAAAATTGTTTAAATTTTTATAATTATCCCCCTCCACCATGAAGTTTTAATAACACAGGTATACTTTATAGCTGTTTGTGTACTGTGATCCCCTGCAAGAACACAGACCAGAGTATTAGCTAAGATTTTTGTCCACCCCTCCCGCCCAAGGACCAAATGTCACCCTCTGAGGGTGATATCACCACTGTTGAGTATGCATGCCATAGGGGGACTGATCTGTGAGGGACTTTCACTCTCGAGTTGAAAAAGCATGTACCTTAATATCTTTTAGCATTTTGTCATTCACTTCATAATCTTGGGTTTCATTCTTTTTAAAAAAAATATGTTTTTACTGATTTTAGAGAGACGAAGGGAGAGGGAGAAAAAGATAGAAACATCGATGAGAGAGAAACATCAACCTCGATTGGCTGCCTCCAGCATGCTCCCACCAGGAATCAAGCCCACAACCTGAGCATGTGTCCTGACAAGGAATCAAACTGGTGACGTTTTGGTGTATGGATCGACGCTTAACCACTGAGCCACATGGGCTGGGCTGGGTTTCATTCTTGATAACTTGAGTGATCCTTAGAATAGTTTACACCACAGGACGTGAGGGTTTCTCTTGTGCACACACACAATGTGTGTGTGTATAATATGTGCAAATAATATGCATATTTTGTGTGTGCATACATGGCAGGATTTGGGTTGGAGGGAGAATTTTTAGCAGGTTTAAGATGACAGATTTGCCATAAGAGGAAGTGTGACCTGGATTCCTGTGTTTCTTAGGACCCGGTACTATACCATGTACCGACAGGCATACAGCATGGAGCAGCGGACCGTCTACAGGTGCTGCCCTGGTTGGCGCCGGCAGGACGCTGAACCTGGCTGCCAGCACTGTAAGTCATAATTCTTCCTGTCTGACTCTCTGTCACTTGAAGTAATGGTTTCACTCTGTTTTGGGCTTCAATCATATCATGCCTGTCAAGGGTTGGGCATCTTTAGAATCACCACAGATTCAGAGCATCTCTTTGGACTGCAAATTCACACGTGACATGTGCAAAAATGCACAAAAAGCTTTTCTGTTAAGTGTTTCTAATGATAGGTCAGGACTCAAGCCCCATAGAACTGCCACTTTACATTCTGTCTCTTTATTTAAAAGACAGTTTATTTAAAGCCAGCCAGTTACACCTTGACTTCCATCACCCTTTTCCATTTGCCTCTTTACCATATCATCACATTTGTAATCCACAGTGGACTCAGAAGTCCGGAGGGAAATCACCGAACTAAATCTAAATGGGATTTCTCCACCTGTACCTGTCATGATTGATTGCAGAACTCTGGAGGCAGTTTACTTTTTAAGATGAGCTGTGCAGTCCTTGGACAGACATGTGGCGAGAGCATCCCAGAACCCTCGAGTACGTGTGACAGCACTCAGACAACAGGACTGGCATCATGTGGTTCGCTCATGCCAGGGGAACGGCTCCATTCAGCCACTCCGTTACCTGTGTGTTTATGGCTATGGCGAGGTCACTTAAAAGGCTTCAGTGTGTTGCAATCAGTGCAGGGCCACAGCGCAATAATGTGTCTGTCCTGCAGCCCTGTACCTTAGGGAGGGTGTCAGCATCCTGCTTCCTTCCCCACTTGCTGTCTGCTCTGGAAGTATCTCAGTGGAGTGCCCCAGGCTTCCCACGGCAGGCAGGCTGTTCGCCGTCCCTGTACGTGGGTGCAGGGCTTGGCCACTGTGACTGGCTGGTTTATGTTCAGGGAGAAGCGTCTGCCCACGACGTCACTGCAACTATTTTATAATCTCCTGGGCATCGATGACTGTGAGATGAACTCTCTAAACTGTTGGGTGACACTGATCATGATCCTTTGCCTCCGGGAAGGACTGGTATTTCTCGTTTGATTTTTAGATTATTCTGGCCACACGATCGTCTTATTTGTGGGGTTTCTTTAGATTAGTGCTACTCAGATTGAGTGTGAATTCAAATCACCTTGTATCTTTTTAAGATGTGGATTCGGATTCAGTAGGTCTGGGGTGGGGCCTGAGAGTCTGCATTCCTACAAGCTTCGGGTGAGGCAGACGCTGGCACATACATATTCTGCAAGGCCTTAGAGAGCAAGGCCTTCACTTGGCATGGAAATAGTGTTTAACTTTGCTATGCAGGGGCTGGTGGAAACTTCTAGATTATATTGATATTAGCAACTTGGTGCTCACATTGAGAATTTTCTTTCTTTCCCTCAACCCCATTCTTCCCCCCCTTCATCTGTCCTCCTTTTAGCCATCTCTGCAGCAGGGACTTGTTTCAATGGAAGGCGATGCTCAGACAGCGAAGCCCAGCCGTGCCAGTGTTCCGAGGGTTTTCAGGGACCCCGCTGTCAATATGGTGAGTCACCTGCAAGACCATTTCACAGATGCTCCTTGATGTACGATGGGGCTATGTCTCCCAATACACCTCCTAAGTGGGAAATGCGTTCAGAACTGCACTGTAAGTGCGGGCTGTCTACCCTGGAGATGGCCGAGCTGTCGGGAGCTGGGGCTCTCTGCTGCTCCCAGCACTGCACGAGTACCACGCCGCGCACCGCTAGCCTGCAAGGAGATCAAAGTCAAAATTCAAAGTACGTTTCTACTGAATGTGTATTGCTCTTGCACCTTTAAGGTTGAAAGATGGTAAGTCGAGCCATCCTGAATTGGAGACGGTCTGTGTGAGGATTTGGAGTTCTGTCCTTCGCTTTCAGCCAATTATGTCGATTCAGACTAATGGCTAGGTTGTCCCTCTGGGGACTGGTGAGCATTTAGAATGAGCCACTAAGCGAAAACCTACCACCTACAGGATACTCGGCATCACAAATCATGCTTTGCAGTTTAGTTTTGATTATTCACTGTAAGAATTCAAAGGGTAGCAGTAAGTACAAAATAGTCTGTTTTACAAAGGAAATGGCAACTTAATAAGAAAACCTCATTCTAACCTTAGATGTTAAGTCTTTAATGGAGCCACGGTTTGAAAGTGCTGGGATCGTATTTTTCTGTGAGATCTCTGTGGTTTGTGAATGAACAAAGTAGGGATTAATGCAAATTCAGTGTGATGTGATCTTTACTACCTTTGTACCCTTTATTGAAAAACAGCAACTCTTGAAGACTCTCAAAGTTTCAAAATTTGGTAACCTCATCCGCAAGGTTGGAACTTTATCAACTCTCCATTTTGACATGTGCATTTCAGACTTTTCTTGTGCAGGACATTGTCACAATGACCAGTGATTTATTCTTTCCTGCATCTGTCACAAAAGCCGGTGCTTCCCAAGGATTTGTTTTGACTTGACCGTCTGATTCTATTCCCAAGAGAATATGAATGCATCTGCATTTATCTCTGCAGGGCAGTTCAAACCAAACAAAACTGATCTTATGGAAGACGTTAAAGAAATAAGTGTAAAAAGCTAATGAAAATATTGTATTCATTATCTTTTGGTGATGCATTTGCCTTCTTTTATCCACCACTTGGATCTTCGTAAGTGAAATTGGAAGGTTGCTGAGAGTTCATCACTCATGTCCATTTGTCCCCTCTGCCCTTGGCATAAGGTTCAGGCTCACGATTTTCATGGGTCACCTCCCAGCTATTCTTCTTGTAAATTAATCCTTTGCTTTAAAAAAAACAAATTTGCGAATTAAAATATAGTTGATTTTCTACCCCAATTTATTCTGTGTCTGTGGAACTCTGATTCTGAGACAGACATACACCTTGTGCTCGAGGGTGTACCTTGAACTGTTTCCATTATTTTTAAGAAGCGAACAGAAATTATACACTGATTCATGACAACAAATTATTTGCCTCTAAATAACTTGTGTCAACTACACATGCAGCACTGGTTTTCCTCATCTTGATCAGTAACTGTGATGGGCAATTACACATGTCATTGATTCATTAAGGATTTTTTAAAATTAATTATTACCTTATTAATTCATCTGTTTTGGTAGAGCAAATCTTTCAAAATATCAAGTCCCTGAGGGGAAAGTTAATTAAAGAAACACATGGTAATGATAATGGCCTAGAAATTATACCTAGACTAATTTATTCCTTATTTTCTACATCAGTACTTGAATATTTTGATTATTCCAATTTCTTAAGAATTTTTATTTATCAAAGTAATTAAAATGCTTTCTAAGATTGAAGTAGCTCAAGGTTATATTTTTCGATTTTGGGTTGGTGAAAATACTGGATTATTTCAAACACAGGCAGAAATCAGCGTGTCTTCTCCACAAGTCTGTTTGTCCTTACAGAGTTCTAGGAGTCACGAGAGAGGACCAGCTATGCAAACATACCTTTCACGAGTCTGCAGTGCATTTTTAGTATTGTTGTCCAAGTTTATTTATCTTTATATTTTTACATTTTTTACTTTTGTCACTATGAACTCCTGTTGAATTTTAAAAAGTGGATGAACCCTGAGGGGTATACATCCTGAGATAGGAGTTCAGACATCTCCTACAGGTATCACACTTCATCCCGCAAAATGAGCTATTACAAAGTAAGGAAATTGAAGAGAGTTTTACGGAGGAATTTTGGAGACTTCCTAGGAAATAAAATATATGCAGAGACAACTGGAGAACCCAGTTAAGAAGGAATAACACTAGCTGAGTCATGAAAGTGGATTAAAGCGAAAATCAGCAAAGGTTGTTTTTAAAAAGAATACAATTGATAGGACATATATGCTGTTAAGCAGGTTGATTATAGTTTGAATCTATCTATAATCTCTATTAACCAATGTTGTTTTTCACATTATATAAATAATAATTCAAATTAAAAAATTTAAAATATAAAAAATTAACAATAATACAGTGTAAGAAAATAAAAATGTATAGTCCTGTCTCCCTCAGATAACTATGTAGTCTTGCTTTGGTGCACATTTATTTATATTCATACACACATATGCAATTTTACATGAGATTATCTTCTATACATTGTTTTGTCATAAATGCCCGTTTTCTTTTCTTACCCTCCTCTTTCTTCTCTCCTATTCTCCTCCAACTTCCTCTCTCCTCCCCTCCCTGTCTTCCCTCCCCCCCCAGTAGCAACTTACTGAATTCTTTTGTATTTCTCTGGGCTCATGGAATGATATACTTTGCTGCACAGTATTCCATGGTATCAATGCACCATAAAGGTTTAACCACCCATTTATTGATGGACATTCATTTTGTTTCCAGTTTTTTTGGTACAGCCATCAGGGTGCAATAAGGCTGTGCTTCTATTTCTGTGAAACAGATTTCTGGCATTGAGATTGTTAGGCATGTCAATGAATATGTGTTTTAATTTTAACATACCTACACATCAAAATATCCATTTCAGTTATTATTATTTAAATCCTCACCTGAGGATATTTTTCCATTTATCTTCAGATAGAATGTGAGGGAGGGAGAGAGAGAGAGAAACATGAGTGTGAGAGAGACACATTGATTGGTTGTCTCCCGCACAACCCTGACTAGGGCCAGGGACTGAACAGCTACAGAGGTACGTGCCTTTGACTGGAATTGAACCTGTGACACTTTGGTCTGTGAGTTGATGCTCTGACTGCTGAGCCAGGCCTCCATTTCAATTATTCGTAAAATGTTTTGTGGGCCACGGTAATGGCTTTACCAGTTCATTTGTTTTAAGTGGATTAAAATCTATATCAATGCTAATTATTATTTTTGGCATGCTGGTAGAACAGGGAATCATCTGCATCTTCATCCAAACCAGAGACCTGATAAAGTACCGAGGGTCAGTTATTATAAATATGAACTACTCTTAGTATAAGGTAACGTTGACTTTATTTGAGACATATGGGGAAAAAAAGAAGTCTAGATAATGAAACAGATGTCCTTTTAAAAAATGGAGAAAAGAATCTAGTCCAAAAGAGAGAAAGGACATGCTTATAACTGAGAGAAATGCTTGAAGTTAATAATGATTCTAAAATTGCTGATCTACTTAAGTCATTTGAAAAATCTTCCTCTAATAAGGAAAAATGAAGAAAATGAATTTTGACAATTAGGAAATAATGAAGAACTTTCTAAAATAGCTATTGATTAAAGGAATCCTTTGAAGATTTGAACACATGCAAATCAGGCTAGATAGCTGGTGGGGAAATTTTCTCTCTTTTTTTAATTCTATGGATCCAGGCAGAACAACTCGGAGCTTTATTAGCTGATTAATATCACACAGAAATCACCCCTTTTGCACTCAACACTCATTCTGTCTTCCCTTCCTCCGGCCAGTTAAACTATAAAAAGTGAAGTTAACTATTTATTGTGCCTGATGATTGGATGCTAATTTTGCGGTTTACTTTTTTATTATTATTCATATAAATATATATATATTTTTTCTTTTCTTTCTTTGTTCTAGCCAGTCTTCTAGTTAGTCACTAAATAGTTATACACCAGGCTGTGTGCTAAGTAGTGCACATACTAAACAAATACGGTACCCTTTGTGTAATGGTAAACAGAGACCAGGAAACCCGTGATTATTATGTAGCTCACAAGTGCTGTGATGGAGGGAGCTTCTGTCCAAAGAGAAAACTGGGGAGGGTTTATCTAACAAGACATGCCAAGAGATAAGGAAAGGTTTCAGAAGATTTGAAAATACAAAGTACAACTTATTCTTAAAGGTTAACAGAACAATAATAGAAAATAGAATATTTTTCAGAGACATAAAAAGCATGGCAAGTTCTATTGGCTGCGATAGGAGATGCACTCGGGAGCCCTGGACAGTGTGTTCAGTGGTTAGAGCATTGACCCCCACACCAAAGGGTCTCGGGTTTGATTCTCAATCAAAGGTACATACCTAGGTTGCAGGGTCAATCCCCAGCCCTGGTTAAGGCATGTGCAGAAGGCAACCAATTGATGTATATTTCTCACATCGATGTTTCTCTCTCTCTTGCTCTCTCCTTCCCTATCTCCCTCCTTCCCTTCCATTCTCTCTCTAAAATATATATATATATATATATTTTAGATATATATATATATCTAAATATATATTTAGATATATATATATATCTCCTCAGGTGATGCACATGGGCAAGGCAAACAATGTGGCTTTGTTTACATCAAGGGCAGCGGTTCCTTAGCTTTTCTTGGTCCAGCCAAACCAGCTACTTCAGAGCCTTATGCAGAGGTGATTACTTAATTCTGCAAGGACTTTGCCAGCCCTAAGTCCAGTTCCCTGAGCAGAAAGTCTAGCAGTTGGGGTTTCTTGAGCATGCCACATTACTGGTTGGTACTGCATAGTCCTCTGCTAGTCCCCCCAACATCCCCATTACTTCAAAGTGCTTATGCACAGTAAAGATGGAATGTTGCTGAAATGCTTTATGGTGACATGGAAACTCTTAAGCAGTTCTAGGGCTGTGGCTGAGTGTCACTTAT